TCCTCATTTAACCAAGTAGGAATGCATACCTTCTGTTGGTCAGAGACTACTGTCCAACCGCCACCATCCTCGATCCGAAGTATGTCTTGCAATGCTTTAATGAACCAGGTCCAGGAATTTTTGTTCTCCGATTCAACGATTGCCCACGCTATTGGGAACATATGATTGTTACCGTCCTTTCCAACTGCCGACAGTAACATCCCTTGTACTTCCCCTTTCAAGAAACAACCATCCAAACAAAAGAAAGGCCTGCACCCTTCCAAGAACCCCCTTGCCAAACTAGAGAAACCAATGAACAAACGCTTGAAATATACCTTCTCCGAGTTAGGCACAGAATCAACTTCGAGCATAAATGACCCTCTCTTGTCAACTCTCGGCAAATGACCAATATAGTCTCTGAGTTTGTGGAAATCCTCAGTAAGCGAACCATAAAGCAGTCTTCGAGCCTCGAGCCGTGCCTTATAACATGTTTGGTTAGACACGTAGAGATTGTGTTTGGTCTTCAATTCAGCTGCTATTAAGTTAACATTCCATGCTTGATTAACACGGAAAACATCCAGGTATTCAGATGCAATCCACTTATAACCCGCAGCACGAATCCGAAATGCTCGAGGGCAAATATGATCTGGCCCAGAATATTTAACCATGAATGCTTCTTTTCCACGAAACCAACTACCATAAACCTTCCACATGCAACCATACTCTTCCCTTTGTGCACACACAGCTTCCTTCCTCGTCGCACTGCTCCTAACCCATCTAATATCAGCTCCCATATTAATTGCATTCTTCATAACATAAGCTTTAAATTGATTACCATCTAAAAACCGCATATGTGTTTTGAACTTCAAAGTGTTATGATCACACTTGGGATCATAACACAAGCTCTTGTCGTAGCTTGTAGCACCATCATCTTCAGCAACGTTCCCTCTAACATGGGCAGAATCCTCAGAGGCCCTATACTCCGCATCAACTGATCCTTCGGCATTGATCTCCTCCTCCACTTTCACTTGTTCTGCACCCCTTTGAATACCCTCATCAATCTCCACACTCTCATCAAATTCCAAACTCTCATCAAGCTCTACAGTGTCAGTTTCAGCTTCCGCTTCAGCTTCACCCTCAATACTAGCACTATCCAAATCAAAGCCAGCATGATGGTTGACATCCCACGCAAACAATTGATTCACTGAACTACCTTCACCATCAAGATCTGCTATCATTCTTCTATTCCTTCTCCTAGCATCAGCTCTTATCTCATGGTATTCCTCGTCGGATGTCTGAGCATCATCATCCTCTAGCCGAACAAACTCAGGTGCAGCTGAATTGTCGCCAGATGCATCTTACCCTTCAGGAAAATGGCCATAATTATCTCCCATATAACCCAGCTCTCCGAGATCCCTTGTTGCCTCAAAGTACACCTTTATATCTCCAGTTCCAACCAAAGGCAGCAACCCAGTTAAAACCTCCACATCCGACACAATTTCATGCAATCCTGTCGCCATACTTTCCCCAGGTGTCAAGTACCATAGCCTCTCGACGGAAATATATTCCAAATCTTCAATCAAAGTCTTCGTCAATTCGAAGTAGGACAGGACATCACGATTCACATTGACGACATCGACAACCCCCCCAACGTACTGTGGAACACCCCCCGACATATCCATCGCGCCTCCATGATGCAGAATAAGCTCAACCATATCGTCCATTCTAGCAAAGACAAAAAAAAAATGATACGAGATTAGTTTAATCTCTATTTCCATTACTTTAATCTCAGTTTCCATTACTTTAATCTCAATTTCCAGCTCTTAACCCGACAAATGCTGGTCACGAGCATTAGTTTACTAGAAAACCCTAATCCTTGGATTTTATCGAGGATTAAAAAAGAATGGAAATGGAGAGAAGAAAGGGATTGATTGCTTACGTTGCTGGTGGGGAATGCGATTAGGGATGGCAATGGGTCGGGTTGGGTCGGGTTTTGCCAAACCCAAACCCAAATCCATGGGTTTATCTTTGAAAAAAACCCGGGGTAAAACCCACTGGGTTTGAAAAACTCAAACCCAACCCAACCCGTTGGGTATCCGCGGGTTCATGGGTACCCACGGGTTTTGTCGTAAAAAATTTACAATTACAAGTTCTTATCAAAATTAAAGTCAAATATCAATCTCTCAATACAAAATTATCCATATATAAAACACCATTCTAGAAAATTCAAGCAAATCACAAATTAACTATACAAATTGTTCAACACCAATCTAGAAAACTTAAGAAAATTGAAGCAAATCACAAATTATCCATAAATAACATGTTTAATTGAAAACTTCTTCCTTTCAATTAAGTTTCTTTACTCTCCACTCCATAACATCAACTTAATTCTACACAATTAAAAAGAAAAAATTAGACATGTCTCCACAAATATAAATAAGATTAGTTGTTTAAAATATTAAATATACCGAAAAAATTAATTATATGAGTGGGCGGGTACCCACGGGCCGGGTTTACCTAAACCCAAACCCAACCCAACCCGGTGAATAGTAAACGGGTTTAAACCCAAACCCGGCCCAAAATCCGTCAACACGGATTTTACCCGCGTTGACCGGATTGGGTCGGGTGGGTACCCATGGGTTCGGGTTTTGTTGCCATCCCTAAATGCGATCTGTTGGCTGTGGTCCCTTTGGAATGTGGACCCGTCGTCGTCCTTTTCACCAAGTCGTTATCGATGCACAGAGAGAAGAAAGAAATCGCGAGAAATCGCGAGGGATCAGAAATCGCGAGGGAGGAGGGGGGAAATCTTCGCGAAGGTAGAAGGGAGAAGGGTGAAATCGATGGCGGCGGCGGCGGGCTCAGAAGAACGCCCGCCGCTGCATTTTTCAGTCGGTGAGGTGAGGAGATTCGACGATGAAGGAAGGAGAAGGTGAGGTGAGGTCGGCGGGTGATTTCTGTGGATGGGGATGGGAGCGATATGGATAAGGTAGGGTTAGGGCACCCGCTGCGTTTTGGTTTTTTTTTTCCCGTCTTCAACTTGAGAAAAGACCTAGGTGGAAATTAAATGGCCTAGGTGGAAATTATTATTTTTTATTTTTTATTGCTGAGTTGGCGGTGACATGGCGCGTTGACTAACGGTCAACGCGTTTGACCGTCCAAGTTAACGGTCAAAAGTCTGATTTGGCCAAATTGTTTACTTTGGTGTATAGTTCGGGCCAGAATGTTATAGATCGAAAAGATTGGCCAGGATGTTTACTTTGGTCAAAGTTCAGGCCATACGAAAATATTAACCCTTTATTTTTAGCAATTCATTGTCTACAAGTTTAAGGTCGATGGGCTTTGGGCCAGCGCCAGACAGAGGGAGGGGCTGGGGACTTTGATATTTCTTCATATATTTCAGATAACATCTCATATTCCCTTAATCCTACGGTTTTGGGTATAGATAGTGATGGGCTTTTCTTGTATGGGCTTACGATCAGAGTTACACCAATTTTGGGTTTTGTGTTTATCTCTTAGTGGGCTTAACCTCCATTGTCGTCATTGTTTTTTTTTTTTTTTTTTTGCACGCCCATTGTCGTCATTGTTTGAGGCCGGGTATGGTTGACAAAGCAAAGCAGCATCAACTTGTTCGGCTTCTTCCAGATCCAATTCTCCTGATTTTCTGTTCGGAATTACATTTTCGATTATTTTCACTTCTTGCTAATTTCAATTATTATATTGGCAAAAAATAGATTATACGAATAATAATTAATGTTGGAAAAGATTTTATTTTACTGAAAAACTCCATTTGATCTCAGCTGATACCGGTATCAGTTGCTCACTCCACTGAAGTAATCGCTTAACCGTATTTTAGTGATAAGAAGTTCGGCAGATACGATGTGTAATATATTTAGTAAGGAATTAATTATAATTATGTCATTAGCACAACTTGTTTTTCTGTCTAATTACTAATTATCCAAAATGTTTCCTTTTGTCACCGTAAACCCAACGATTTCAACGATAGAGAAGGCAAAGTGGATTTAGCCTAAATCGGCTGCTTTGTCATATCAAAGACCCGTGATGTGTGGCTGTGTGGCTGTGTCATCCAGCCTTATCCAAAATTCATCTACTCTAATCTTTCCTAACCAATTCATTTCGTTTAACTCAAAACTTAAGACCAAATGGATAAGCAAGAATAACTTAATCCTGATATTTTATCCAATGGTGCGAAACCAAATGAATTAACAATAATAAGTAGTATAAATAAATTATCATGAAATGCTACATTTTTTTTTTATGTTCTTACATTAATCTCCATACTCTAATAATACAATGATGCTCAATCCGGTTTATCTTAATATTTTTTTTTTAATATTTCGTATGACACGAAGTACACCCTAACATTCATTCGGAATCAAAGGACTGTAGGCAATACTCGTAAAGCAGGGATTGCAATTTCGATCCGACCCACTTTATCCGACCCGTTTTCCTTGTTTTGGAGTGCCGTTGAATCGATGAGAAAAGAATTGGTGCTCTCTCGACTCAAATTCGTCCCATTCTCGATCATATGACTCAATCTGGACCTAACTAGCGTTCCATAATAAATCATCCATCCTAAAATTCAATCTAAACAACTACAAATAACGAAATATCCGTCCCGACCGTGCCCATTGCCATAATGTCATTCCTACCATAACCTCAGAGTAATGGAAGAGAGTCAACCATGAATCTCTTAAGACGTTGCTTATACAGACCAACAAAGTAAAAAAAAGACGGAGGGCCCCACATTTCCCTTAGCTTCAACCAAGTTGTAAGTTCAGCCCATCTGTCACCATCCGCTAGTTGCAACCAACTATATTATTTTCGGCTTCCTACATTGAAGTCTTCTTCGACGTTTTTTTTCCTCTCTGTTTGTGATGGGAACAAACCTCAACGTTTGACTCACAGGTACGTTTATTTCTAAATTAATTTAGAACCAGATAATAAGTACAAAATTTGTAAATCTTTTTCCTCCTTAATACAATACTTTTTTCTCTTCTTCAGAGATATTAAAAAAAAAAAAAGTAAATCCCATTTGATTCTGCAGATTTTATATTCAACTAAAACAGCGCTGTAGCCGTTGACTCGTCTTAAAAAGGCCAGCTACGGTGAGAGGCAAGCACCACAGTCGTCTCTTCAAACATTTCCCGGCGGAGCGGAAGTGAAAACGGAGGAAATCATAATATCAAAGAAATCTGCTGAGAAATGGCGGGTGGAGGACCTGCGGCCAACAATGGCGTCCTGAAACGCGCCCATCTCTACGAGTACAACATCACCGGCTACTTCATCTTCGCCTGCGTCGTCGGGGCCATCGGCGGCTCTCTCTTCGGCGTCGATCTCGGCGTTTCCGGTGCGTTTATTTAGAAAAACTGCTCTCACTCTTAACAATGGAGTTACAAGAAACTAATGGGCTGCGTTTTTTTTTTTGGTTTTGGGCAGGTGGGGTGACTTCCATGGACGACTTCCTGAAGGAATTCTTCCCGGCGGTCTACAGGAGAAAGCAAGCCCATCTCCACGAGACCGATTACTGTAAATACGACAACCAGATCCTGACCTTATTCACTTCCTCTCTCTACTTCGCCGCCCTCGTCTCCACTTTCGGCGCCTCCGTCATCACCAGAAAGAAGGGCAGACGAATCAGCATCATCTGCGGGTCAATCAGCTTCTTCCTCGGCGCCGTCATTAACGCCGCCGCCGTCAACATCCTCATGCTCATCATCGGCCGCGTCCTCCTCGGCGTCGGGATCGGATTCAGCAACCAGGTATTATACCCAAAACCCCCAAATTTAGAATCTAATTTAAATTCAATTGGAAAGGGAAACTCACGATTGCGCCCAAAACAACAGGCGGTGCCGCTGTATTTATCGGAAATGGCGCCGGCGAAAATCAGGGGAGCGGTGAACCAACTGTTCCAGCTGACGACCTGCCTCGGAATCCTGATTGCAAATCTGATCAACTACGGAACGGAGAAGATCCACCCATGGGGATGGCGGATCTCTCTGGGATCCGCCGCCGTGCCGGCGGTGCTGATGTTCATCGGCGGGGTGTTCATGCCGGAATCCCCAAACAGTCTTGTGGAGCAGGGGAGGGAGAAGGAAGCCAGAGAGGTCCTCGAGCGAGTGCGAGGCACCAAGAATATCGAAGCGGAGTTTCTCGACATGAAGGAAGCGAGCGAGGAAGCTCGATCGGTGAAGAACCCATTCCGCAACCTCCTGAAGAGGAAGAACCGGCCGCAGCTCGTGATCGGAGCGATCGGGATCCCAATGTTCCAGCAGCTCACGGGGAACAACTCGATCCTGTTTTACGCCCCTGTCTTCTTCCAGACAATGGGGTTCGGGTCCGGATCCTCGATCCTGTCCTCGCTCATTACCAACGCGGGGCTGGTCGTGGGAGCGCTCATGTCGATGGCGGTGGTGGACAAGCTCGGGAGGAGGTTCCTCTTCATCGAGGCCGGGATCGAGATGTTCTGCTACATGGTCATGGTGGGAGTTACCTTGGGGTACAAGTTTGGAGATGGCGTGGCTCTCACGAAAGGTTACTCGGTAATGCTGGTCATCGTGATCTGCCTGTTCGTGACGGCGTTCGGGCGGTCGTGGGGGCCGCTCGGGTGGCTGGTGCCGAGCGAGCTGTTTCCATTGGAGACGAGGTCGGCCGGGCAGAGCGTGGTGGTCTGCGTCAACATGATCTTCACCGCGCTGATTGCTCAGTGCTTTCTGGTGGCGCTCTGCCATCTCCGGTACGGGATCTTCTTGCTGTTTGCTGGGCTCATCTTGGTGATGACGGTGTTCATTGTGCTGCTGCTGCCGGAGACGAAGAGGGTTCCGATTGAGGAGGTTTACCTCCTGTTTGAGAATCATTGGTTCTGGAAGAGGATTGTAGGTACCCGCCAGCCGCCGGAGAAGGAAATGGGAGAAAAGGAGGCAAATTTACAGGCATAGTTTGTCAAAGTTAGGAGGAGGGTGGAGGGGACTTTACTGATTACTTTCTGCCGTTCTTCTTACTATTATTGTTAGTGTTTAAAAATGTCTGTAAAGCAATAATTTGCTGTTCTATGGGGAATGAACTGTCGAGGCTTGTTTGGATGCTGAATCGTTAATATATACAGATGAAATCTCGAGGTATATAGAGTTCACACATCTGTTATTCTGTTGTCACTTTAGATTATCCAAACAGATGATTTGGTGCAAATCCATCGAGGGATTTGGTGCACGAATCTTCACGTTATCGAGGTGTTTCAACTCCCGATCAATCCTCGTTCTTTTGACTTAAATGGGATCAGCTTCTGGATATGATTTTGAGTTCAGGGGCACCAGAAAGAACAACAAAAGAGAAACATTACTTACAGCAGACAACTTGCAGGGTATTTAGTACCTATACACACATGTCATGTCGGCGGAGGAATAGAATTCACTGGTTTTGGGCAGCTTCGAACAAATCCCTCCATTTCTGTGGATCACTTCCTGGACCTTCTCCCTGCACAAAACCAGACGCTCTAGCATCATCAGTACAATAGAAGAATCACAGGACTTTTCACTGATTCAAATTGTCTTGTCTAGTAAGCTCACCACAACTGAGCTGATCTCGTAGGCATTGCCTTCAGTAAAGTCAATGTCCAATGCCTGAATGCAAGCTTCAGCCACCACAAGTCTGCTTGCTTCTCCAACGAGTTTATCTCCTGATCACCAAACCATCAATCAAGCATATGTCATCCCCATGGTTTAGGTTGCAACTTTGTATGCATTGATCGGTCATTAGATGCTTACCTTGGCCAATGATAACTGCACGTCGCTCACCAGCAGTAGCTTTCAGGAGAGTGTTCAAATCGTATGACGTGTATGGCCCATCTGTTAATCTCCCCGGTCTAGAATGATATAAACACATGTATTCTAAATTTCTAATCATGAAGCACAGGTCCTTGAAGAGAACTTCCAAAAATGTGGGGTGATCAGGAGAAGCTAAATAATGGCTACCTGATTATGGTAAATGGAAGTCCGGATTTGCGAACAAAGTCCTCCCCCATCTTCTTGTACTTGAGCACACCAAAAAGATTCATAATGCTACCAACAAAAACACACAAAAGAAGAAGAAAAAAAAAAGGGATAAGGAATGTGACGTGTTCTTGCGCAGCAGTCTGGTCTAGATGCTTTACTGAACCAACATTAGGCAGCAGGCACTCTATATTTCTAGCATGCTAAATCATACCTCCAAGGTAGCTCGTTGAACTTGGTTACACCAACTGATGAAACAAGAACAAGCCTCTTAACGGATGGGGGTAGAGCAGAAACGAGATTCCTTACGCCTTCCCAATCTTTACACCAAAAAGAGAAGAAAAAACAAGAGCAAGAAAACAATTAAATGGTTGCATGAACTAAGGTGAAAGGAAGTTGGCCAATGAAGGTAGATGGCTCATGATGATTCATTCTACGACGTTCATTTTAAAAGCAAAGCTTTCAAACATAGATGAGGTTAACAGAAGGTTTTTAAGGGGAGATTCTTATGCTGATTAACAAACAATCATGGAAATGTGGCCTAACCCACTCTTTCTGGTGTATTATCTCCATCCCATCGCCTCGAAGGAAAAGCTGTCGTCCCTGTGGTACAGATCACATGTGTGACTCCCTTCAGTAAACATTTATGCACTATGAGCAACCACACTATCAAGAAAAGCAATTTCCTTTATCCAATTCTCCCAAACGAAACGGAACAAGTGCAAACCTCGAACATGGATGGATCGAGATCCGCAGAATTCCTAGTGTCCGCCTTAAGTACCTAAGCACACAACATTCCACCACTATTTATCATCACATTCACAAAGGAAAATGTCAGTAGTCACTAGACCATGATGCTGCATTATTCTGAAATCAAACTAGGGTACCTCCAATTTCTCATTATCTTGAACCCCAAAGAGTGCAGTTGCCTTCTCAGGATCACGCAGAAACAGCCGCGATTTGATTCCCCGGGTAAGCAGCGATGCCACAACCAGCTGCCCTGAAATCCATGGAAACAAGGTCTGCCTGTCAATACTGATCAAACTCTATACAGGCACAACAGATATCAAGGCCAGTTGAAACACTAGGAATTATTGCAGTAGCGAAAGGGCAAACTTAATAGATTCATGGCTATATCAAAGAATGTGAAGCAAGAGGTTATACCCACACCGCCGGAGCCGCCAACAACGAGGACGAGTTTCGAGGAAGAAGGAAATGATGCAGTCGCGGAATCAGCAGAAGCGTCCGAATTCAATGACTCAATCAAGTCTTCCTTCAAAGCTTGAACTTTTGCTGCTGCAGCTGAGCCTGAACCTGCTTTGAGATTGCAGTTTCTGTGAGAAACATTCAGCGGCTGAAGTGGGTAGAGAGGAATGGTTTGTGGGTACTTCGCGAAATTTCCAAGTCTCGGAGGGAAGTTGTGGGTTGGAGTGAAGGAGATTTTGGTAGCCATGGATGCCACTCCCCTGAAGATGAAGCGGTTGAGTACGGACTGATAAACAAGGGGAAGACAAATGATAACCAGAGAAAAGGGCTGAACTGCTAAACAAGGAAAAGACAAAATGAAAAATAGTGGTGGTTAAATTTCCCGGCGAAATAAATTCTGGAGTACAAATCCGCATTTTTCATTCCGGCTTATTTTTATTTATTTAAAATACATTTCTTATATTCGTACAGTTTATGCTTTATAGCGCCTCGCTCACCCAATTCGGCAATCCGCTTTGTTGAAAGCGATTATTTTCCTACCTGTGGATCGTCTCTCCTCTCTACCAAAATGGAAGCAAGCGGCGGCGGCGGCGGTGGCGGAGAGAAGTTCGTGTACCGGATTTGTCCAGCTACCGAATGGGAAAATCTGCAGAAAGACGGGTTCACTTATGGCGGAGAGCTCGACAAATCCTCCGGATTCATCCACCTCAGCGACCACAATCAGGTAAAAACCCACATTCAATTTCTTCCCTTTTCTACCCTTTTGTTCTTCCTCTCCTTACCCACATCCGTAACTTCAAATCCATAACCATCTGCAGGTTCTATCAACACTGAACAATTTCTTCCGAAACACCAAGTTGGATCTGCTACTTCTCCAAATTGATGCTGGAAAGGTTTGAACTTTTCCCCCCTAGATTGTAGTATCATACTAAATTTTTCATGGGCAGTTGGGGTTTTACTTATGGCAGGGTTTGCCTGATGGTGGTGTTCTTGATTTCTTGTCAGCTTGGGGATGGGTTGGTCTATGAGTCCATCGATGGAATCAACAGCTTCCCACATTTCTACGGCCCGGCTCGAAGTTTCAGCCCTCTGCCTCTAGATGTAGTCATCAAATCTGACAAGATTGTTGAGTCGGATGGCCAATTCGGCTGTGCTTTACTCGGTTGAATAAATATACTCTGGTTTCCGACGGTGATGTTTGCTTTCAGATGGAAATCAAGCTGTGATTGAACAGAATGCTTCTATTTACTTGTTCTTATTGGCCGGCCAGCAGTTACTGAAGCTGGATCCATATAGGTTTCTTTGATCCTGAAATCTTCTGAATGTTTCTTAGTCGTCGTTAACATCTTGTCGCTGGAACCTTTGCCAGCTCTAATCTGGCAGCATGACGAAGAAGCTGACTTACAGTAATGCATAATTTCGAATTCAAGTTCTTCACTTTCTGAAATGTTTTAACGAGGAACGATTGGCATAGTGGCAGCATGATCTACTGTTGAATTGAGCATTCCTCGTTTTACTGTCGAAATCTTTTGTTGCAAGTGTGAGCTGGGTATTGCTATCTATTCACTTTGAAGTTTGAACTGAGGGTTGGTCTGTCTTCGCAAAGATTCGCCTTGAAAGCTGTTGAAGTAATGCATACCCTGGGATTGAGGATAGAGAGAAGTTTGCCTGCAAAGAGAACTCCCCCCCAACTCAGGGAGCACACAAGGTAACTTCTAGCTAGACTCTAAAACACTTTTTTTCCTCAATAAAAGCTCAGAATTCGTACCAATGGTGAATGCTATGTGAAGGTTCTGATACCTTGCTCAGCAACAGTTGATATTGTGATCCTGCTAGTGTCCTAGAACCTGATCCTTTTTGTAGAAAGAGGGGAATGTGCTGATCTGATGTAAGCTAGGGATTGGGAAATGAGGACAGCTGTAACTGTTGTCAGCAACCCTTGTTCTAAATCTAGGCTTAGAAGTCAAGTGTATGATTATCAGCAAGTTTAATGTTCAGAGAATGAATTGGCTTCCATCCTACAGAGTACTATCTTCTTCAGGCACTGCAACCGCAGATACTCAAAGCTACCATTCTTCCTTTTCACTTTTTCTTTGAACTTAGAGGGCTACCATTCAAAGACTGGTAACTTTGAATAGAAGCAATGGATTGTGAAGCCATACCAGAGATGATGTTGGTGACTAATGTATCAGGATAACAAAACCGAGTAAGAATCGTAACGGTCAAAGCTCACTGGCCGTCCAATTTCGTTAGGTTCTTCTTGAGCTTTGATGGTTAACCGACTAAGAAACCCTTTCTTTCTACAAAAGCAAAAGAAACTCATTACACTCTTTGTTTATTCATGTATACTGCTTGCTACAATGTTTCAACTTGTTAACACATACCAAGTTACATAACTTAGACTTCAGACTTGTGGTTATGATCACATCATGCTCAAAGAGCTCTACCCTTCACAATGCTGGCCATCGTTTTGTGCGTATTTGAACCTGTAGCACTCTACGTCCACGGTCCCTGCACAGCTAGTACCACGATCATAGTCCGATCCCCATCCTTTGTCCGTGAGACTCTCGTACTCGATTTTGAGATTTTAGGCTTGGGGGTGACTTTTTGTCAATGTTTTCAAAACCAGATGGACATCCACCCGAATTAGCAAGAGGTTCAAGATTCTGTATATACATAAATATTTAGAAAACAGGTTACTTACAATTTGTAAAAAAATAAATTACGGATTCACGATATTCTAAAAATTAATAATAGTATAAAAACTCTATCTATATTGTCAAGAATCAAGAGCCCAATCAATATTCATAATCTCGAATTCTCAATCACATACAATTTAATATTCACATTATTCTTATTTGAAGAAGTTTTTTTTATGAATATAAATAAATTTTTAGTTATTGAACTCTTATTAAAATAATGAAATGTGAAAATGACAGTAACATAAAAAAGAAAAATAACAACAAATCAATGTAATTTATTTGGTTAATTTAACTAACACATATTTGTGGGATCCGAGGTTAACCCACCGAAAAGGTATTTCATTTTTTCCCCATGAACTATTAAAGAAAAGAGATAAAAATCGATAGTTTTGGCTGTGACCCAGGCAACCAATTAATGGTATGTTTCAACTATCAAGGCTTTCGAGTCCGAATATGTGCTCTGGTGCGATTATTTCTAGTCGAATCGATATTTCGATCCGGTTAATGACAACATGAGTTTTGCTGATAGGGTCGATTGTTGTGGTGATGCCTCGGTGGATAGGAAAGAGTCACTGAGGGCAAAACTAAGGTGGTGATGAGGCGAAAATTAAATAACATCATCTATTTACAACATCATCTACTTAACAATCAAAATTCATAATTAATCGTCAAGTATAACAAATCTAATCAAATTGAACCATCATCAATCACTAACTGTTGGGCCTAGTATTGGCATACGTGGGCCTGAGGCCCATGGTTACAAAAGCCCACGAAAGCAGGCCAAAGACAAGGTGAGGCTAACCATACCCACCATGGAGACCGCTCGACATTTACGTCAGCCATACGTCAGGAAACCGCCCGACAGAAGGGCTAAAACCCTGCTGTCAGAGAAAGCCAAACATTCGTACTGACACAACATTTAATAAAGTCAAAGGCGTCCCAGACCGCCCGACACAACATTAAATGTCCTGATTCCGAGGCTAGGCTAGTATAAATAGCCCCAAAGGGGCAGCATTTATGGTAACTTCGACCAACCTAATTCTCTCTCTATTTTACATCTCCTCATTCACTTCTCTCTCTAACTTAAGCTTCGGAGGAGGTCCCAGGTAATCCCTGAGGACCTTTCGTGCAGGTCTTGGAGACGGGAGCGGATAGTATAACAACACTCATAGTATTGTTATAGTAACAACAAGATTCATTAAGGGTAAAAGGGTAAACTAACACAAAATAACAAATTAAAATTAAAAAAAATAAATATTCAATCCCCAGCCTTCCCCTCTCTCTCCGTCTCTCGATCTCTTCTCGCAGTTGCTTCCCGTGAAATCGAGAGGCCTCTTTATTATTGAGCGACGAAATGGCAGCCGCCACCGCCACTCTTTGGTGCGGTTAAAAGAAGAAGAAGAAAAAATAATTAGGTCAAAAACTCAATTCCGCTTCTCAATTGATGCATGCTATGTTCGGAGTCTTCGACGGACACGGCGGCGCGAGAGCAGCTGAATTCGCTTCGAAGAATTTGGGGGAAACATCACCGCCGAAGTATCGTCTTCGTCGTCGTCTAGATCTGACGTTGACGGATTCGAAGAGGCGATCAGGAAGGCGTATTTGAAAACTGACGCTGATTTCCTCAACGAAAACGCTCACGGCAGAGCGTGCTGTATAACAGCGTTGATCAACGACGGCAACCTCGTGGTGTCGAACGCCGGCGACTGCCGCGTCGAGATGAGCAGGGGAGGAGTGGCAGAGGCGCTCACGTCCGACCATCAAGCTTCTCGCCCGGACTAGAAGGAGCGAGTGGAGGCATTGGCGGTTACGTGGATTGCTCCAGGGGTGTTTGGGGGATTCAGGAATCTCTCGCCGTGACGAGAGGGATCGGCGACGGGCATCTCAAGGAGTTCGTGGTTGCCGAGCCGAAGACCAGAGTTGTGATGATTGAATCTGATTGCGAGTGGCCTCCGATGGGTTGTGGGATAAGGTAAGAGATTGATTCTCACTTTGTTCATAATTCCTGTTGAGGAAGTTTGTATTGATTGGGGAAAACTGATTAGATTTTGCTCCTTTCCAATTCCCAGGTGTCTAATCAAGAAGTTGTTGATCTGATCCGCCATTTGTTTACACATATGCCATGTAACTTATGTGGTTTTTCTTTTTAATAATGGTATTCATTTTCATATTTCTTTTTTGATATTTTAGGAGTTTCAGTATACAATTGTATTGTTTTATATCCACTTTTTCTAATATTGAATGCATTTCATTCAACCTTTTATAGTATTTATTAAGGAATTATCGGTATGTATTATTGTATTTTTGGTATACATTCTTATATTTCTCATATACCAGAAGCCTCTTATTGTAAACTACAAGTCTCCTAAAACATACCAGAAACACCACAAAGCAAACCATAAAATTTTCAAAAGCACACCAAAAACTACATAATGCAAACCACAAACACGACAAAGCAAACCACATAAAACAACCAGATTCTTCCTAATGCGGAACACAAATCTATTAAAACAAACCAGAAACCTCACAAACCAAACCACAGAATTTTGTACAACACATTGCTAAAACAAACCAAAAACCCCACAAAGCATACCACAAATATTCCGAAAGTACACCGGAAACCTCATAATGCAAACCACAAACACGATAAAGCAAACCACAAAC